GAAAGATTCAGTGCTTAGTCCCAGAGAGGAAGAAATCAGGCGTCGACCAGACTGGCTGGATGTGGAAACCAAAGGTGAACAGAGTCAGCTCCCTGGAGCCTCAGGGTAGAAATCAAAAGGTCAAAGGAACCGAAGATTTTGAAATTCCCCAAGAGTTACAGCTGTTAACTAGGCAAGCTCTCCAGCCCTAAGTAAGCTACACTCCCAGCTCTATAGCCATCTTCAGGGGGACAACTTCCGGATTCCCTGAATCTGCTCAGCCTTTTTGGCCTGGCCGGTGGCTGTGGTGGGATGACCCTTCTCTGGTATTCTGAGTGTTCCAGTAGTCCACAGTTCTACTTGTCATCCTTTTAAGGATGGGTTCTTTTGATCTCACAACAAATATAGAATGCCCATATATTGTGTAACTGACCTCAAAAATTAAGATAGACTCCTGCCCTCAAGGAACTCGCAACTCTGGCTAAGTATTTGCAGTAAAGAAAGTGTGGTAAGCTCTAGGGAAATGGGTCTTGACATGTATTCAAGGTCTAATTTGAGCTACTTCTCTGTGGAGCAGGTAAGGAGCTGCTCCTTGTTCATAGTACTCAGTATTTTCTAGGAGATGGTGACAACTGGATTTTCAGCAGGATCTGTGGAACAGAGAGGTGTTGCTTTGACCACCATGGCAAGAGAAAGGATATCTAAAGAAACACAGATGTGTATCCCTTCCTCCAGCTATCAGACTACTAAAAAATGAAGAACCACGCAATCACGGACACACATGCACGCACGCACGCACGCATGAACGCACGCACGCACGAACGCACGCACGCACGCATGCGCACACACACACTTTTGCCAGAGTTTTCATGCTGGAGGAAAGAAAAGGCTAAAGCCCTGTGCTAGTCAGAGAAAGGACTTGCTTCCTAGGAACAGATTCCATACAGTTCTGACAATTCAGGGGACCAACTTCCAGGACAGACTGGAGCTAGGACAATGATGGGTCAGGGATAGACAGGACTACACCTTGACCAGAACTGTTAGTTATGTATGTCTCTTGCCCTCTATTTAAACCTAAGCCTTAAGTCAGCGCTCCCCACACACAAGGATGAACTGGGGTCAGGGGCATGGGTCACTGACACTTTTTATTTCTCAATATGGCCACATTGGATAAATTTTCTTTCTCAGCTTTTCACTATTAAGTGTCTCTTTATTGGTATATAAGGACAGGTGACCGTAGCTTGCTGAGGTTGCCAGGGACTAGATCTTCAGCTTATGACTCTAGTAACATTGTCACGCCCACCACTATTGATGCCATGTCCTACAAGGCTAACTGTCACAGAACATATAGCACTGGTCTGTTGTTTGTGGTTTGTTTGTTTGTTTGGTTGGTTTGTGAGACAGGGGCTCACTATGTAGCTCTGGCTATCCTGGAACGCACTCTATAGACCAGGCTGGCTTTGAACTCACAGAGATCCACCTGCCTCTGCCTCCCAGAGTGCTGATATTAAAGGCATGTACCACCATGTCTGGTTGGTTCCGGTTATTAACAAAGGTGAAATTGGAAAACTGGACTAGCTTAAACTTTTCAAAGAAGTTTATCAAATATCGACACAGAGGAAGTCCAATTAGGTCTTAGTCACAGCCCAAGCCCTCCATCCTCAGCCTCAGGTAACTAAGAGAGTAATTTAATGTGGGTAATAAAGTTGGCTCAAAGCAACCAGGAGCACATACTGTCCCCCAAAGGCGTGTCCTGAAAGTCAGCAGCTGAGATGGCTCATCTGCTCACACTGACTTTTTCACAGCAGCACTCAGCTCTGAAATTAACCTGTCATCTAAATTGAAGGGGAGAAAAGGCAGAAGGTCTAGGACACAGTCATCCAACCCGACTAGCGGGCCAGTCACTGACGTCAAGCCCGAAGAGAATGGTATTAATCATTCCAGCCTGGTGTGCAGTTGAGGACAGCTCTGTCCAGCTCTCCCAACCCATTCCTGGGATCTTTCCACCAGCCATGCACCTGCTGCTGGCCACAAACCCTCAACTTTGAGACAGGCACGCATGCAGGCTGCCATCGATAGCATTTAAAGCCACACTGCACCCTTTAGTAGAGTCCAGGCTTTGTGGAGGAGAAAGGAAACAAGGCATAGTAGTGTCACCCCTATGATCCCACCCCACCCCCACCCCCAAGATGTGTATGTCTTTAATCTCTGCAGGGTAATCGCCCCTAAAATGGTCATTTCCTGGGAACTTAATGAGAATATAGGATTAATGTCCCAAAGAACTCTTGGGGCTGGCTATTAATTCCCCTTAGGAAATACCAGTGGTCTTTAATCAAAATTGCCTAAATTACAAGCTGGTGAAGCATGTCCTTACAGGACTTAGGGGGCAGCTGTTACACCAGCTATTTCCGATAGATGGCGCCCACTTTCATGTAAATAAATCATTCATAAATTTTTCTTCCTTTTTTCCCCCCCACGGAGATGGGGGGCAGGAGACACCAGAGAGAGTGGAAAGGACTTAGTAAAGGTCCAGACAGGAGCGTTCTGTCCAAGGGCTGTTTCCACACCTAGCACACTTCTGAGACTCTGAAGACAGAGCCAGAGACCCCCCCCACACACACACACACCAGTCCTGCTTGCTGTGTGCAGCTCATTCTGTGCAGCCAGTGATAAGGAAGGGAGGGTGAGAGTCGGGGCAGGAGAGCCGGAGCACTACGCACGGCCCCTTTCTCTCAGCTTTGCGGAAGGATCAGGGTGCTCAGAAGACTTCCCAAAGCCCAGGCTCTGTAAGTGTTGTGTTTCAAGACCCTTCCTGCCTTTGATCACAAAACACCAGACTTCTGCTTGTTTCCATGAGGACTTACAAATAACAACACGGGTCTTTGTTAAACAAAAGCAACCCAAACTAACAACCGAAGAGTCTCCCAGCCTGTGTCTTGAATCCTATAATTCTCAGATAAGTATTCCTACACTCCTAGGAAAGGATCGGGCATAGTTCTGCTTGACTTTCATCACAAACCCTAGAGGCAGCCAATCCTTGAGGATTTCTCAGGCTGCAATCCTGGAGACTTGGCACCATGACTCAGATATGAATGGAGTCAGGGTTGCTCTATTTTGACTGGGAGACACTGCCTCCTGATTGATTTGGCAGACTAAGTATTTTGATATTTATGTCTCACAAAGAGTTTAAGGTCCTGGGAGCCAGAAGTTTAAAATGGTCATAATTCTACTGGTGGCTTAATCCCTAAATTAAAAAGTCAAGGACGATATGGTCCCAGATATAGCCTAAAGCATTCTGGCTTCATATTCCATCCAGCAGCACACTGGCTATTTGAAGGTCAGTGAAAAAAATGAGAGCAAGGGGAGTGGTCTCTTCACCTCTCAGGGTGCCTAGCAAAGCTAAGCACGTGGTAGGGACTAGTTTTCAAAAACTGATTGAAATGGTTGAAGAATTCTCCAATCCAATCAAAATCTTCTGGATAAAGGATATCCAGCTATCCAAAACAACTAGCTTGGCTGCACCAAAACAGAGAAATGAACAAAATATCTAGAAACTAAGGTTCTGCGAAGGCATCGCAAGATTCTGCTTCTCCAGCTCCTCCGTCAGCTGCACAACTCCCCACTGATAAAGTGGGTTACTAAGCAACTTCCCAGAGAAACTAGAGTAGAGCCTACCTCTTAATGCTGTTTGTAAGGGTGCTTTGTGAGTTAAAAAAAGAACTCAAAGAGTTCTGGTTTGGGCTTTCTTTTTCCTACGCCTTCCCCCTGGAGCACTGGTGTTACCGTGTGTGCTTCCTTGTACTTTATCTCAACACAAGGCGGTGAGAAAGAGATCGTTATGTTCATATTTATAGATGAGAGATCTCACTGCCTAAGCAAATGAGTAGAAACTCTGAAAGTTTGTTTTTTTAATCACAGTTTCTTATTCTTCTACACCGTCTTGCTTTTCAACTCACTATGAAATACATTGACTAATTTTTGCTTCCTCCATTCTGCAACTCTTAGAATTTCCTTTTACTGGATTCGGTTTTTCCAGAGGCAATATGAGAGAGAGCCACCTGGACTTTGTTTCCTAGCAATAAGCACACACACACACACACACACACACACACACACACACACACACACACACACACACACACCCTCCCCACGTTTGATCTGCAGGCATTATAGCAAACCTATCACTCTGAAAAAAACAGGTGAGACGATCACCCTCCTGGCCTTCCAACACACCTGGATTAGAAACGGCTGCATTGAGTCAGCTGTTGGACTTCAGGCTATCTGTAAAATGGGCATAATTACTGCCTACCCGATTTGTAGGTGAGTGAACACGATCACTGTGAACAATGAATGCAAAAGCTCCCAGCACACAGTAGGTCTGTTTCCTTCTCTGGCCTAGAGCTGTTGAGAGTTAACATGCAGGGAAGCAGGACGCCTCCTTTCAGCCAGAATCGGACTTACTGAAACCTGAAACTGTGGGAATGGACAGGAAACTGGAGCAGCCCTTGGATCTCTTTCCCACACGACCCTAGGGGGTGGGAGTGTGTGTGTGTGTCGGGGGTTGGGGGGGGGGGATAGGATCAGTGTTCCATCTAGGGTGGGCAGTCTCTGTCCTTCACTCGCCCTAGCACCAACACCAGCACCAGCCAGCCGCAGGTCTTCACGACCCCGCCTGCAGCTCGAGGCTTGGGGGGTGGGGTGGGGGAAAACCAAAAAAAACAACCCAGATCCTGAGGGCGCATCGGCTGGCGACAGACAGCTCTCACGTCTTCCCGGCCTCCATGCCCGTAGGGTCCGAAGCCTGGGTCGTTGGCCTCTGCGCGGGCTGCCCTCGGGGACCCCGCGGGGCTGTGGGCGTGGCGAGCGCCCGCCTGCTGAGGCGCCCTGCTAGGCTTGGCCTTGTGTGTGTGTGTGTGCGCGCGCGCGCGGTGGGGAGGGGGGGCGGTATCGAGCGCGCGCAGGCAGCCGGGCCCGCGCGCCGCGCCGCCGCCTCGTCCTCGCCCGGGGCTGCCCGGCCCCTCCCCTCCCCCGCGAGCTGCGCACCGGCAGCCGGCTGACCCAGCAGCCCGCGCCCGCGCCCGCGCCCTTGTCCGCGCGAGCCGGCGGCGGGCTCCAGTCAGCCGGCGACATGAGCGGCGGCGGCGACGACGTGGTGTGCACCGGCTGGCTGAGGAAATCGCCTCCCGAGAAGAAGTTGAGGCGCTATGTGAGTGAGGCGAGCGGGCGCGGCCCGGCGGGCGGGCGGGCGGGCGGGCGGGAGGACGAGGGGCGTCCCGCGCGGCCTCCGAGGTGGGGGCGCTGAGAGAGGCCGGGCGCGGCGGGTCGGGGTCCCCCCCACCCCGGCGGCCTCGGAGGGGGCGGGCGGCGGGGTGCGAGCGGGGCGCCGCACACCTGTCACAGGTGCGCCGCCGAGGGGCGGGGCGCAGGTCGGGGCTGCGGCTCCGCGGCTGCCGCTGCTCGGCGCCGGCCTCGCCGGGAACTCCGCGCCGTGCCGAAGTTTGTAGCGGTTGTTCCGGGCGACCCGGAGAGTTGACCAGCCGGGGCTGGGGGGGGGGGGGGGGACGAGTCACCCCGAGCCGAAGGGTAAGCTGAGGGGCCGCGCGGCCCCGGGGCCCCACAAAGGGCGAGGCGCCGCGCCCCTCTCCGGGTCCCTTTCTCCGGCCGCCCCTCCCCGGTGGCTGGCGGCTTCCTTCCAGTCCGCGGCCGGCCGCTGCATCACCGGCAGCGTCAGCGGCATGTGCAGCGCTTGTATTAAGTGACTCATTTGTTTGTCCCCCCCGTTCTTTCCCATTATTCCGCATGTCTCTCACAGTCCCCCCCCCACCCCACCCCCCACTCCCCGCGCGGTCGTCCGCTCCACGGGGTGACACTGCAATTCGGTCCGCTGTAACTGGCCGGGAGTTTTGTGTTGAGCAGCCCTTGGTGTCTGGGGTCTGGAGAGATCATGGTTCTGACTTGCTAGGTGGTGCTAGCTGACGGTGTTTACTGAAATTGCTGGGACAAGTTGTCCCCTCTAGGTGAGAAACTGACAATTGGGGGGGGGGAGCACCCCCCTCCTCCTTGCCCAGCGAGGTCAAAGAACAAAGTGGTGCCAGGATCCGAGGTTGGGGTAGTCCGAGGAGTTTAGAAACGGAAAGTCCGTTAAAGGAGTGCAGGTTCTCCCATCCCGCTTCACTTGCCAAGAAACGTCCTTGTGCCGCTGCCTGGGAGTGCTGGCCTCTGAGAAATCACTCCCACAGCCTGGAAGTGAGCGGTTGCTTCCAGCTGCAGTGCATCAAGGGAGCTCCCAACAGACCCGGCCCTCTGTCAGCTGCGCTAGTGGCTGGCCATGGGGGACAGAAGCTTACCAGAGTTTCCTGTCTCTGCTCCCCAGATCAGAATCAAGGGACTTCTGGCCTCTGGACTGAGGAAGTGACATTCTGTTTTTCAAAGGAAGTGTTGTTGTTGGGGAGTGCAAGTGTGTCAATGAAATCAGGCTCTGACTTAGGTCATTTGTGCGGGGGTGGGGGGAAATCTCAGGATTTAGTGCATAGCTTTTGAGCACGAACAAAGATTTGACATATAGTAATATAATAGAGGTGTTTAAGCTTTAAAGCTCATATTGGGGGTTTTGATGTGGATAAAATATTTTAATTACTAAGAGGGAGTTTTGTTATGTTTTGTTTTGTTTTTGCTTGTTGCTGTAACCCAGGCCTGTAATTTCAGCACTTGCATTTGGGAGACAGGCACGAGGATCACAGGTTCAAAGCCAGCATAGTTCCAGCATTCTAGGCCAGCTTAAGCTATGTGAGTTCCTGTCTCTCTTTTGAACACACATAACCCAGCCCCCCCCCCAACCCAACAAACCACACACACACACACACACACACACACACACACACACACACACAAGTGAACACCACCAAGATGGCTCAGTGGGTAAAAGTGCTTGTCCTTCAAGTGACGTGGTGACTTAAATTTGATCCTCTGGAAAGCATATAAAGATAGAGTTCTGACTTCCATGTTCATACTGTGATGTGTACATACACTCACATACTCTCCCTCACATACACAATAATAATAATTAAGAGAATTAGGGAGGATTTCTTTTTTTTTTTTCCCTTGGGGGTGTGATTGTTCATGCCTGTAATCCCAGCACTTGGAAGGTAGAGGCATGAGGATCAAGAGTTCAAGACCATCCTTGGCTGCATAGTAAGCTCAAGGCCAATGGAATGCTACAAGACCAGCCAGTGGAATAGTGTCCTGTTTTTAAAAAATGCAATTTTCTAATTAGAAGAGAATGTAACATAGTTGGTAGAATGCTTGCTTAGCATACAAGATGTCCTGGGTTTTTTCCCAGCACTGCATAAACAGGGCTGGGTGGCATAAGCCTGTAAAACCAGCATTCCAAGGAGAAGGAAGGAGGATTAGAAGTCCGGGTCATCCTTGAATTGAAAAAAAACAAAAACAACCCTACTTTAGAAATCTTTGAAACTTTGTTTTTGAAAAAGCTTGCAAAAAAGTTGATACTGTTGCACTTTGACTCATGGCTACATCAACCCTTACCACGTAGAGTCTCTTTATGACCTAGCTCTTCAGTGTTTTTTAGAACAGCTTTACCACAAAATAGCCAAGTTTGGAGGCTTGTGTCAACCCCAGGTTTTATCCATTTAAACTCCTTAGTGCTCTCGGGTCCTCTGATGACCTCAGCTTCCCCCTTTCACACATTCCCTTTGGCTCCAGCCCCCAAGGCATCTGACACAAGCTACAGCCTGTGTGACTGGAAGCCTCTCCAGGGGTAGAAGTCCAGTCCTCCTGCTTCCAGCCAATCTAAATAACCTATGCTTCCAGAGTGCAGCCTCCTCCATCCACTGAGTTTCTGGGAAAACAGTTGGCTTTTACACACACATCCTCATACTAGGGATTGAACTGAAGGTCTTGCCTATGAACTCAAGGTCTTGCCGGTTCTGAGCAAATGGTCCATCACTGAATCCCCAACCCTTACATTTTACTTTTCCTTTTAAAATCTCTGCCAACTGTGTTAAGTTATAGCTCTGTTCTTGGTTTCTTAGAAGCTCAAGTTAGTTAGACTCAAACTTAGAGATATTTCCCAGCCAGATTGCTGCATACATAACTCCTAAATAGTTGTTGTAACTGGTATACATAATAGTCATATTTGGTATTGTAGATTGACATGTCTTCATTTTAAGGGTGCATCAAGCATCGGAGATAAAGGAGAAAGTAGCATATTAAATACATGACGGTTTAAGGCTCTTTTGAAAACATAACACCAGTGTGTGGGGAAAGGAAGGCAATAGGAAAAAAATACAACTTGGAAGAAGTTATGTTTTCAGAGATGTGTTGTGTTGTTTTGTTTTGTGATAGGGTCTCATCCTCACACTGGCCTGAAACTCATTGTGTAGCCCAGGCTAACTTTTGAATTTGGGGTGATCTCCTGGTTCTCTCAAGTGCTGGTATTGAAGGCATATACCAACACATCTGGCAATGGGGGTTTTGTTTTTAGAGGTTTTTTTTTTTTTCCTCATTGGATTTTCTAATTGATTAAGCATAAGAAAGAAGAAATGATCTAGAGCATTGGTTCTCAACATGTGGGTTGCTACACCTTTCACAGGGGTCACATGTAAGATACCCCTCCATATCAGACATTTACATTAGGATTCATAATTGTAGCAAAATTACAGTTATGAAGTAGCAATGAGACAATTTTATGTTTGGGGGTCACTGCAACATGTAGTAAAGGGTTGCAGCGTTAGGAAGGTTGCGAACCACTGAGCTAGAGAGTATTTGTTGTGCGTCCTAAAGAAATTGGGTGGGGAGGAGAGGGAATATACTGAGTATTACTCCTGGTGCATCATGTGACAACACTGAGGGCTGACAAAAGAAAGAGCATCATTCCTGTGTACGGCTGTGAGTCCACCCGTGCATGAGAATGCCGTTATATGTACTTAAATATCGAACAGGATTTTGTGGAGGGAAAATTTACACCATTCAATGTATTATAGTCTGTTCTACTTTCTAAGTGTTGCAAGATTTGAGGGAAAGAAGATTGGTCACAGCATTGCCCCCTGGTGGTTTATTTGAGGAAAGTTGTATTGGGTCTAATGAACAGCTGCAGGAAGCAAACAGTAACTGTTTGTTCTTCTTTTATTATCGTTATTAAATATGTGTATTCCTGGCTTTGGATTAGTTGACTAACCCATCCCTTCAGTGTTTGCTCGTCACAAAGAAGGTGGATCAGGGTATGGCCATCTGCACAAATCACAGTCAAATTTCCTAGTTTACTCAGTATTTACATGATTTCTTTCTCCTCTTCCCAGAGTTCATGAGGCACCCCACTGTCAGAGCTAATTCTACTCCCTGTACTTCGGCTTGCATTCTCTCCTACCTGCTCAGACAATTCTTGCCCCTTTTGGCAATTTTTTAATTAGGTCTTTGAGAATTTTGTACAATGTATTTTGACCATGGTTATCCTTCCCCTAACTCTTCCCAGATCCAGTCCCTTCCTTATCCACCCAACTTTGTGTCCTATTCTCACCCCAAACCCATCAAGTCTAATTTATGTTACCCATATGATGTTGGATGTATGGCCTGGTACTGGAGCATGATCAACCCTCCATGGGCCAGGATAAAGGGTGCCACCATGCCTACCTTATTGATAATTTTAAAGGACCAACTGTTTATTTCACTGATTTTTATCTGTTGCTTTTCTGTTTACAATTTCACTGGTTTCTGTTCTCTATTTTAACCTTTTTTTCTAGTATCATTTGTTTTATATTACTTGTCTAAGATTTTATATAATTTATTTTATTTAATTTCATGTTCATTGGTATGAGGTATCAGATCCCCTGGAATTGGAGCTATAGGCACTTGTGGGATGCCATGTGGGTGCTGGGAATTGAACCAGGATCCTCTGGGAGAGCAGCCAGTGCTCCTAACCACTGAGCCATCCCTCCAGCCCTAATGTGGGAGTTTAAATTACTGATTTGAGACTTTTCTTCTAGTGCTAATATACACATTTAGTGCTATAAGTCCCCTTTGAAGATTGTGTTTTTTTATTCTAAAATTTTTCATAATTTATATTTTCATTTAGCTCAGTATTTTTTTTTTTACTTCTCTTGAGACTGACTTTGACTCATGGATTATTTAGATATATGTTGTTTAGTTTCCAAATGTTTAAAGATTTTCTTGTTATTTCTGTTTCCAATT